CCTGCCCCATCGCTTTTCTCCATCCACTCTTCTCCTCTACTCTAAAGTTCTAGGACTTGGCTTTCTGGTGCCCTCTTCTGTTTTCTAGCTGTCATTACTTGTCCTTTCTGAACCCCTACCTCCATCCTCACAAGAAAGAACGCAGACCAGCCAGGTGACTCTGGGCCAGGCCTACGAAGGGCTGATCTACACTGGGCAATGGAGCTTCTTCATGGGAGGTTCCTTTTATCAATGAAAGGACAGGTCAAGTTCAAAAGAAAGGAGCGGGTCAGGTGAGGGGTGCCCCCCGAGTACTCCAGGCAAACATACAAGGCGCGTCTGACAAATCAAAGGGCAAGGTTTCTAGAGGTGATCCCAATGCGTCCTCCCCTCACGTGCTCACTTAGCCTGGTCAAACTGACCCCTGTCCTTGGAGGTCTCATCCTTGCACTCCGAGGAAAAGACCTAGAAAAAGAGTTAGAGAAGCAAAAGCTGGTTTCTTCTGGGCAAGGCTCTGCTTGGGCCGGCAGCAACATGTAGTTTGGAGGGAGCGCTATATTTGGACCTGAGTTCAAATCCTGATTCCAATACTTAGGAGCTGTGTGACTGTGGACATGTCACTTTTCTTAAGTCTCAGGTTCCTCATCTCTAAAATGGGCATAAGAACACCTATAGACTCTCCCCCACAGGACTGTAGTAAAGATCAAATGAAATAACTTATATAAAATGCTTTGTAAAAACAAAAGCACAGCTGCTGTTATCATCATTTAGCTTGTTCTCAGAGTGAACCAAACCAATCATATCTAGGCTAGACATGAGATGCTTCACTGGTTTCTGGCCATTGGATTTCTGTTGAGCAAAGATGCAGATGTCTCCGTCAGTGGGCTTCTCCATCCGGTAGCTTTAACAATGAGGCCTCCAGGCTTTGAGGAAATCCCTCCTCCTTATTCCCAAGCAAACTGGCCGTCCAGGGTTAGGGCACCATGTAAGGTTGTAGAGAGATAAAGATATTTGGGGAGAGGGAAGGGGGGAAAGAGCCAAGCTATTCTTAAGTGGCATCAAGGCATAAGAATTCCAAGGAATCCAGACCCATGAAAAGGATAAGATTCAAGACAGATTGCAAAGGATAGGGACACAGGGCGTGTCTCTGGGTAGAAAGGTGAGAACTGCCTTTCTCTGGGGATCCAATCCCTCATGCCCTCATATCACCATCCTAGAATGTTCACCAGATTCCAGATTTGAATCTTAAAAGAGATAGGTGACCCTGGGCAAGTCACTTAACCCCAATTGCCTACAGAGAGAGAGAGAGAGAGAGAGAGAGAGAGAGAGAGGATGAAGAGAAATATTAGAGCAAGGTAATTTCATAAATTCACTACAATGGGATGGTTCTAGTCTGGAACTTATCTTGCCCCTAAACCCCCCAGTACCCCAGTCATCCCAGTCATTTGTAACTCTGGAGCCATATCTGACTTTTCTTTTTCCTCTCATCCAGAATTTCTAGTGAGTTGCCAGATCATATGGTTTCTACCGAGGGGTTTGTGGTTAAATGCTTTTTAACAACTGGCTCTCTGGGGGGGAAAAAAAACCTCATGTACGACACTTTCAAGTTTAATCAGAATTATTATTTTCTCCTTCACTTTCTTAAGTCTAGATGATTAACAAATAAATCAATTAAGCCATGATTTGAAGCATTTGTTGTTTTCTGAGGTGTGAGTGTTCATCATGAAAGTTTACCCTAACAAGCTCTCATGAGCCTGTATGAGCTGACTCCACCGATATTCTTCTTTCCATCTCTTCAATCTGCCCCCTCTTCTTTCCACTCCCACTGCCACCCTCTTCGTTGGCACACTGAAAAAAATACTGGTTTGGACCTCCGAGGACCGGCCTTCCGTCTTCCCTCTGTTGTTCGCTACCTGGGTGGCATTGGGCAATTCTCTTAACTAACTGTTGGCCTCAGTTTCTTCATCTGTAAAATGAGGTGCCCGGCCTCACTGGCCTCTGAGATGACTTCTAGGTAGAGAGCTCTTCTCCTGTGGACCTGGTCAAGAGCCACCCATTTATCTAAATATTTTCAATCTGGGCCCACCTGTGCTGGTGAATACTAAGTTATAATAATAGAATATTTCTATCTATGATTTTCTATCTCTATAAATCTATTTTCCTACATATAATTTCCTCTATAATAATATAACATTTTCTCTAATATTTCTCTCCATCTTACCTCTTTTAAGATTCAAATCTGGGATTTGCTGAACATTCTAGCATGGTGATAGGACAGCATGAGGCATGCCGGAGAAAGGCAATTCTCACCTTTCTACCCAGAAACATGCCCTGTATCCCTGTCCTTTGCAATCTATCTTGAATCTTGTCCTTTTCATGGGTCTGGATCCCTTAGAATTCTTATGGTTTGATGCCACTTAAGAATAGCTTGGCTCTCCCTCCTCCTCCCTCCCCAAATATCTCTATCTCTCTACAACCTTATGTGGTACCATAACCCTGGTTGGCCAGTTTTCTTGGGAATAAGGAGGAAGGATTTTCTCAAAGCCTGGGGGCCCCATTGGTAGAGCTGAGAGGACCCTGGATGACACTTGAGGCATCAGAGGAGCTAGTGCTGGGACCTTAGGAATCATCAAGTCCAACCTCTCTTTTTCCAGATGAATCTTTTATACAGACTGTCCTACAATTTCCTTTTCATCCCATTAATAACTAAATGGCTTAAATAGAGCCTGGGATGGACCTGCTTCTAATGGAATTCTGGTCAATAGCTCATTGTTAAAGTTTCAAGGTTCCAGCGCCTGTAGAGATAACACATTACCTGTTGCTATAGGAAATGTGGGTTTAGGTCCATTTTCATTAACTTAGGGTCATGTTTCTTTGAGCACTCAGACACTGATGGGACATTCACTAAGCCTTCTGCCAATGCTTCTTTATGGTGTGCTGGTGACTCTGAGTTCTTAAAAAAATATTCCAGTGGAATCTATCAACCTGAAATTGTAATGAAAACAGTCAATAAAACAAAATGGAAGTCTTTGATCGGGACAGAGGACTTGCAGCTCACTGGAGTACCCAAGGAAGGGGGCTGGGGATGGCAGAGAGAATGACTAAGTTGCTGGTGGGAGAGGTTGGGTATCACACAGTTTCACCAAATACTGTTTTGTATACCACACAAAAGTCTGTTAAAGAAAGCTTGGGAATCTGGGGAGGAGAGAGTTTGGGAGAGGTACAAAATAATCAGAGGCCAGAATGACATCTGGTCAGGTAGGCGATTCACTGGCCTGGGAACAGAAACTGGTAAGAGTTCTCAGTCAATTGTGTTTGTCAAATCCAGGCCCTGAGAGGCCCACCAAGCTGGAAAGGCTCTAAGTAAGGGCCTGGTGTCATGTCAGTCTGATCCCTGAGGACCAGACCAGGGAAGTGAGAAGGGCTCAGCATCAGAGGCTTGGCTACCAAACGATGGGTTGCTTGGTTGATTTTTTGGCCGTGGTGACTCATGGATGCCATCTTCTAAGGCGGGAGTCCTCAACCATTTTTTGTAACATGGACTCCAAGGCTTTGGCAGTCAGTCTGATGAAGCTGATGGGTCCCCTCTTCTCAGAATAATGTTCTTAAATGTCAAAAGTAAAATACATCAGATTACAAAGTAAATCAATTATATTGAAATACAGTTTTAAAAATATTTTTAAAAAACAAGTTCACTGATCCCTCTTTAAGAAACTCTAGGTTAAGTGGTATAGGCGTTGAGATTAATGTTAGTGGAAAGATGACAAGATCTTAGAAGTAGATGCGTGTAATAAAATCGATTTTAAAACTAATCTATTCAATTCAATAAACATTTATTAAGTGCCTATTGTGTGCCAGGCACTGTGTGCTAAGCACTAGGGATACAAAAAGAGGCAATGGAAAAACAGACCCTGCCTTCAAGGAGCTTGCAGTCTAATGGGGGTGGGGGGAAGCAACATGCAAATAAACGAATATGAAGTCAATTATATAGAGGGTAAATGGAGTTGTAGAGAGAATAAACGAATCGCCGGCAAGTGAATGGTAGGCTGTGTGGTACAGTTGGAAAGACAGCCTCTGCCTCTGGGTTCAAAATCTGCCACTGTCATTACCTGTGTGATCTCACCCACGATGCTTGGGCTCCCCAGGCCTCAGTTTCTTCCTCTGTAAAATGATGGGGTTGACCTAGTGGACCCCTGACGCCCCTTCCGGCTCCAGATCTAGGTTCCTGTAATACAATGAAAAAGCAATTGTCGTTTCTCAAATTCCCCAAAGGGAGGAGCCCCAAAATCTGAAGCAACATAATACAATCTCGTAGAGGAAACAGAGGCATCATTACCAATGTTTGAGGACTCCTATGTGGAGGCTGATGGGTGGCACAGTGGATAGAGTGGTGGGTGTAGAGCAGGGGTGGGGCACCTGCAGCCTTTTGGCTGAAGGGCTGAACTTGAGGACCTAGAGGGCCACACGTGGCCTTGAGGCTGCAGGTTCCCCACTCTTGGTGTAGAGTCAGGAAGACCTGAGTTCAAATCCTTTCTCAGACATTTACTAGCCGTGCGACCCGAGGCAACTCATTTAACCCTCCCCGTGCCTCAATTTTCTCATCTGTAAAAAGAAGAGTTAGGATTCCATTGCCTTTAAGGTCCATTTCAAACCTAAATCTACGGTGCATTTTCAAAATAGTGTCACTCATCCAGCATTTGATGACCGTTTCTTAAACGCCTACAACATAGACAGCGTTGTGCTAGGTGATGGGGACATACCAAGATAGTTAAAACGTAGTTCATTAATCGAGGGCTAGCGCAAGGCACTTGATCATGCTGTAGGGCATACAGAGAAGACAGACACGGAACCTCTGCCTTCGTAGGGCCTATGGTCCAATAACAGTGTCTTCAAGAATGGACAATTTCCCAGTTATCTGTTATTGTGAACTCTTAGCAGCTGGGGAGGAACGTCCCAAAAAATCCAATCTAAACTTTCCCCTCTCATCTCCTTTCTTTTTTTCCCCTTTTCTTTCCGGTCAGGAAAGGCCACCTCCAGAGGGCTAGCTCAGCCCAGTATGACGTTGGCCTGGTAGAGACCAGCAGCATTAATATCTGCAACAGTGAGTAAATTTAAACTTTCTTTGGTTTCCATCTGCATTTACATCTGTCCCTGTGTGGTGCCCGCCGGGAGTATTTGTATTTGTGTTGTCCAGTAAGCAATGAAATCACTCAGACAGGAGTCCCTTCCACACCTTCCGACTCTGTCATTTTATCTGTGGGGAGATTTAGAAATGGGGGAAGGGGTTTTAAAGGCTGCAAAAGTTAAAAGTCTTCAGAGGCTCAAGGACAGATGTGGAATAGTAAAAAAGCCTTCAGGTGAAAAAGAGACACTTTCTACCCCAGAGGCTTAAATGCCTTAATTGAATACCAAGAGACAAAGAACCAGCCTCCAAGGCATCGATTTCCTTTCCATGGTGGTCCTTAGACGCTCATTAACACAAGATTCCCAAAGGAGTATGGGAGGTGAAAAAAAAAAACACTCCAAAGAACTGTTTACAGAAGGCAGAGACTTTTGAGGAAGGAAAAATTTGGCAAAAAGGGAAAACTCTCCAGGTGTGAGATCTTCAGGGTCAGCTCTGAAACTGGCTGAGGTTCTCCTATATGTAATGAGGGTAGTCCCCCTAACTCTGTTCCCAGTCCTAAGCAGCAGCCAGAGATGAGAGATGGACACAGAGCTCTCAGAAGGCTAAGTAGGGTCTTCCAGCTTCTGCATCTCACTCCTGTGGTCCTTTGGGTCTCTGCCCATCCTTTCCTGGTCTTTGTGGAGGATGCCCCTGGTGTCAGGAAGCGATTTGTAATTTCTATTTTGGCTATGGCCCTCCATTGATAGAAAGGTGATATCAACACATGGCTTTATAATTAGCTGAAGAAATTCATCATCTCCAACCTTCTGACGACGAGCCTATCTCAAATTAGTTAAGATAGGACCAAAAAGAAAAACAAAACCACTTATAGATTGAGGTTCTTCTTACCTGATATTGTCTGTTGACGTAGCCTTTGTGGCTTTCTATACAGTGATGAGGTTTTAGAGGAGATTTTTAGTGGAGGGTTTACAGGGTGTCCCAAAAATCTGAACGTAGTTTTAAGCTACTAAAGCCTTAAACTGCACTCAGACTTTTGGCACACCTTTTGGCCCGCTTCACCCCATCCCATCACATTCAAATCCTACGGAATTGACTGCAACCCTACGCACTGAACTGTTGGTTTTGTTTTTAAACAAAGCTGCGAGACCAGGGCTTCGAAAGAATTGACATTTCCTGTTCGGATTGGTTACTTTGCCAAAGGTCTGGCAGCCATCCCTCTTCAGACCCCAGGGTAGTAGAAGGTCTCCTCATTCCAATGATTATGTATTCTAGGATGGGTTTGGCTGGGCCACCTTCTGCGCCTTTGGGTTGTAAGCTTGCCCAAGAAGCTTTCCATCTATTGATTGAAGGCATTTTAACTACAAGGCTTTAGTAACTTTTATGATCCTTTTATAGTTGTTGTAATAAGTCAGTCCGGATTCAATCGTTGACAAGCATGTATTTAGTCCCATGCTAAGGATATTAAGACAGATGGGTGGTGGGGCAGCCAGGTGGACAGGGGATGGAGCTCTGGGCTTAGGAGTTGGGAGGATCTTTGTTAAAATCCACCCTCAGACACTTACTAGCTGTGTGACCCTGGGCAAGTCACTTAACCCTTGCCTGGGTTTCCTCACCTGTAAAAAGGGGATCATATGACTCACTTTCACAGACTTGGCTCTTCTCAGCAATGCAAGGATCTCAGACAACTCCAAAAGACTCATGACAGAAAATGCTGTCCACTATGGAGCCTGAATGCAGATGGGAGCATACTATTTGCTCTTTTTTTCTTCTGTTTTGTTTTGTTTTGTTTCTTCTTTCTTGTGGTTCCTCCCTTTGGTTCTAATTCTTCTTTACAACATGACTAATGTGAAAGTATGTTTAATAGGAATGTATATGTAGAGCCTATATCAGACTGCACGCCATCTTGGGGAGGGGAGAAAATTTAAAACTCAAAAGCTTATGGAAGTGAACATTGAAAACTAAAAATAAATAAATTAATTTTAAAAAGAATTAAAACATTCCCATGAAAGAATAACATAACATAAAATAAAATAAAATAAAATAAAATAAAATAAAATAAAAAGAGAATCATAACACCTACTTTGCAGTATTGTTGTACGGATCAAATGAGGTAATACTTGTAAGTCACTGAACACAGTGCCTGACACATAGTAGGTGCTTAATAAATGCTTATTTCCTTCCTTCCTAAGATGAAAATTACATAGTTCTACTCTCAAGGAGATTATATTCTACTGGGGGAAAGATACAACAATTATGGGGAAAGGGAATGAAACCTTAGACTTGGAGTCAGGAAGAGGAAGAACTGCATTCAAATCCAGCCTCATATTTAATTAGCTGTGTGACCCTCAGCGAATCACTCAACCTCTCTCTGCCTCAACTTCCTCATCTGTAAAATGGGGATAATAATAGTCTCTGCCTCCTAGGATTGTTGCGAGGATGACATGAGATTGTATGTGTAAAGCACTCTGCAAACATAGTGACTCCCCTAGCTGTATACACGTAGCTAGGCCATGAACTCACTCTCCCAGAGCAAGACTGGATAAATCTGCAGCTTAGATTCCAGGGTCTCTCTCTCTAATGCCATCAAGTCGTCCTGATTCCAGGCCCAGCACCCTGTCTCCTGGGCCTAAGTAGGAGTCCACAAGTAAGAGAAAGGGAGAGAAAGAACGATTTGAGAGGCAAAGAAAACACCTTTGATCAATAAAATGTTCCTTTCCCTAGAACATGGAGAGAACTGAAGACACGCCAGCCAAGTGAACCAAGGTATTACATCCGAGCTGCAGGGGAATTAATGAAGCCGTGGAAGGTAGAGGATGTATATGTATTTCTAAAAGCTTTTCTAACCATTTCCTCTTCCTTCATTAAAGGAGCACGTTGCATCAATGTCACCTGATGGGAATACCATACACAAGTGGCCGGGCTTCTCTATCTTTCTTGATCTAACCAGGCATCAGCAGTTAGGGGAGAGGAAGAAGGCTGTTTTTAAATTCTTAAATCACCCGTTAACTCTTTAAAATCACATTGAGATGCAGCTGATGGAAATTTTTATTTCGGTACCTTCCATGAGCGCATCTCCAGCCCTCGATGGAGCGGGTCGTCATGAGTTTCTGCGGCCATCATCATCCTCTTGCAACCAAGCTGGGGAAGAAAAGCTTGGGTACACAGTGGGTACACAGCCATCCTGAGACCTGGACTCAGGGCATTTCAGAACCCAGGGTCCCCGTACTCCTCATTGAGTCATCAGTATAGGACAGGAGAATGATACAGAAAGGAAAGGAGAGGTGTCTTTTTTATAGCAGTCTGCTATGAAGGTCATTCTTTTGTTGTTGTTAGAAAATGTCTTCAGAAATCAAGAAACAGAAAATTTATGACTATCTTGCCATCTGAATTCCATAAAGTTGAAATGTTTGCCCTTTCCAAGGAGGTCATTCTTTTTGACTAAAGGTTTGGGACCCTCTGTGACTCCATGACTTGAGTTGTTCTGCCAAAAGCTGACAAAGTTTTGCCCCACCTTCTTAATAATCTCATCCTTCCAAAAGTGGAGGAAGCAGCAAAGGGAACTGCAGTACTGGACATGATTCTGACCAACAAGAAGGAACCAGCTGCTGGGTTAGAGAGGATGGGAACCTTTTTAGGGAAATTAGAGGAGGAGAGTAAAAGCTTACCTCACATGGACCTTCGATTTAAGGAGAGTAGATTTCAAGGGGTTCAGTCAAAGGATTCCACAGACTAAAATTCTATGGGGAAAGTCAGCCCGGGAATGATGGAATGCAGACACAAATGAACTTCCAAAGACACAAAGAGAAACAATTCCAATGGGGAGGAAAAAAACCTAAAGGCATGCACAGGAGGCAAATGACCAATTTATGTTTTCTAAAATGACATGTACAGAGAAGCATGGGGAGATTTATATGAACTGATGCAAAGTCAATAGAACCAGGAAAAATATATACATGTATGTGTATGTATGCATGCACGTACGCAATATATAGTGCCTACAACCATGTGAATGGAAAGAACAAAACAATCAAAACTAAGTGCTGATGGTCCTATAGAAGAGATATGAGAAGGCTCCTTGCCCTACATCTCTGCAAAAGTGGGGGACTATAGATACAGAATCTTGTATAGAATGCCAGACTTTTTCAACATGTAGTTTAGTTTTGCTAAACTGCTTTTCCCCCTCTTTTTTATTCTTTATTATAAATGATTATAATGGGGGAGGGGCTGAAAAGGGATACAGTGGATAAAGGTAAATGATGTAAAAACAAAAGATATTGATAAAATTTTATTTTTTAAAAAAAGATATACAGAAAAGATCCTGCACAGGGATGATTTTCTGTTGCCTCGTCATGACATGGATGTGACTGTGGGTTCCCAAAGGCTGAGCCAGTGAAGCACAAGATGCAGGAGGCTCTGTTATACTTGAAAGATTTGGAGTATAGACATGTCAAGAGACTCTCTGCATTCCAAGGACCAGCCGAGCTAGGTACATAAAGGTTAATCAGCAGTACATAAGCTACTAGTAAATTTCTTGTTCTTAGCAACTCATGAAATAAAATGGTGCTCAGACCTGCTGTGCCTTTCTGCCTCTTCAGTGGTGGTGACAGTGGTGTAGATGGGAGAAGAGGATCGTAAGAATCACACTACCCTTGGATCAGCTATAACCATTAACTTGACCATTTGTATTCTAAATATGAGATCCAATAACCAGTGAGTGGGCACACTCCTAGGGGAGCTAAGCCGTGTCAATGCTGACATTCTTGTTATAAATGGAACTGGAGGGCAGAAGGAAGATGCAGACAAATGAAGGTTTCTACTTGGAGAGGCAAAGGAAGGAGCTGGTTTTACCTTGTCCCCAAAGGCAAGGTAGAAACATTATTTCATGGGATGCACCACGGGAAGAATTGTGGTTTGTGTAGAGGCTAAGGGGTAGAGACATTCTACAAGCAACTCATTAGGACCATCCAAATTAAATCAATGTATGGCTTTAATATTCAGTGGCCTCTGTGCAAAGACAATATAGGGAAAGACAGTAAAATATCATCACCTCATGGCCAATATGGTGATGAGCCTATATGAATTTGACTAGGCTCATTCTTAGATGATAGATATGTTCTAGTTACTGGAGACAACAGGAAATTCAGGTTTGGTTCTTTGGATGTCCATTTTACATGTGTCATTTTCCCCACTTCAGTTTGGAATTTAGCCAAAAGATCTGGGCAAGGAAGAAAGAGAAACAGATGTGAGTAGAGTGTTTTCTTGGAGTTTGCAGAATAGATGAGGGCACATTTCCCAGAGTGCCTTTGAGCCTGACCTGGGGTGGGTGGGAGGAGGGAGAGGGAATGGGGAACTGAACCAGGCAAGAGAGGTGGAAGGCCAAGTCTAACAGGACAAGAAGAAAGAGGAGAGTGTGATGAGGCAATGGGAGACCAGCAGCAGTTGAGGAGACCTTAGCCAAGGAACTAAAGACAGAAGTGTGAACCATGTCTGGGGCAGGACCTAGACTGCTGTTCTAGCCTGGGCTGAAGACAGTGACCAATGCCTTCTCCTTCCTTTTTCTAGAAGCTTATGGAGCCAACTTGGAATAATCTTACTCTTACTTTCAGATCTCCAGAGGGCCATCATTTTAAGAAGGCAGGGGCTTTAAAAGAAACCTGGGAATTTGGAGAGATAGCCAGATCTTCCTCCATGAAAGGAGGAGGAAGGCAGCTTCTCTTCTTCCTTCCAACCCTCAAACATCTCGACCGTTCAGCCTGCCTCGCTGTCTGGTGTCACCAGATGCCCATACATGCACTTTCTATCCTCACAGCCCCTACCTCTCTCAGTGAGGACGGGGATATGATTTATCATCAATTACCTAAAATCTTCACTGGCTTTTCAATTATTGAAACTTTTTTTTTTCATTCCAAATCTCCATCTTTTATTCATTAAAATAATCCAAGTAACATCATCAGAGATTCTAAGAATGTCTTGAATAGTATTATCTTTTAGATGAGGGATTCTTAACTGAGGGGTTCACAAATTCCCCAAGGGATCCACAGACAGATTTCAGGAGGTAAACTAGGATGGGAAAAAAATACATCTTTATTTGCACTCACCTTTGGTTTCCTTCGTAACCGTAAGTATGTTATGTTATGCATTAAAAATCATTGTCTGAGAAAGTGTCCATAGGCTTCCTCAGACTGTGCCAAAGAACTCTGTCACACGCGCACACACACACGTGCACACACACACACACACAATCTTGACATGCCACATGTTAAAGTTGTTCATTCATCAAGCATTAACCTGCAAAATGATTAGTGATTTAATCAAGCAATCACCTACATTTAAAACAGCCCTCTCATAGATCTCATAAGGTCACAGAATCATAGATGTGGGGTGATAATGGCCCCTAAAGTCATCTCATTTTACAGCCCAGAGAGTTGCATGCCCATGACTGCACAGGCAAACTGCTGGGCTTGCCAACGTAGGGATGTAGATTTACAAGGAACCTCACTTTTCTACAAACCTGAATTTCTACAGCTCTAATTTTTAAATCAGAATTGTCGACAGATATATGATATTATTTTCTGATATGCTATGCTCAGAAGGAAATGCTGGTTAGAAATGTAAGTTATTTTATTGTGGTATCATAAGATGTGGGTTTCTTTTGTTCTGATCCTTCTTTCACAACATGATTGATGTGGAAATATATTTAATAGGATTGTACATGTATAGCCTATATCAGATTTCATGCCATCTTGAGGGTGGGGAGGGAGGAAAATTTGGATCTCAAAATCTTATAAAAATGAATATTTAAAACTAAAAATAAGTAATTGATTATGGAGAAGCCATGGATTTGAATTCCAATTACAGTGTTTACTACCTATGTGACCTTAGGCAAGATATATGATTGCTCCAGGCCTCAGTTTACCTAGATGTAAAATGAGGCTCTTGGGCTCAATGACTTCTAAGTTCTGTTCCAGCTCTGTTTGTGCTCTGAAGTATGTTATAAATATTGTATGAAGAGAAGATACTCACGTCCAATTCATATTAAAGCTACACAAAAAATGCTTTGGAGCTTCCTCCCAGCCACATGAAGAACTGTTCGTCTTTAATACTTGCATTTGTATATATGAGGGAAATGTTTTAGCTGACAAATAAGATGTATGAAAATTTCATATTGTATTTTTAATTATTTTAGGGGTTTCATTGAAGCAGGTCCTGAGCCAATCTACAGTGCTTTAAAAGCAAGAGCCAACTGCTTTTTACCATCTCCTGCTCCTCAAGTGGCCACGTGCTTCCAACTGTTAAAACAAGGCTCACCACAAGGTTTATTTTGGCCAAGGACGTCTGGTGGACACTAAAACCCACAAAAGCTCAGTTTTATCCTTCTGGAAGTTTTCTGTAGGTTTCATGCCTCCTTGCCTTCAGCACTGACCATAGCTTTCTGTGCTGGACCCCTTCCTCATTATGTGTAATGGCCTAAATTCAGCTTTCTGACCTCACTGCACGTTCACGCTAAGACTCTCAAGTGGATTGAGAGGGAGGGGGAGAAAGGAGGCTCCCACCTATCAGTGACCTGGGCCCTAGTGGGCTTGGTCTTTTGGGGGGGGGTGGAAAAAGTCTCATTTGCCACTTCTCTAGCTCATTAGGATTTCCAAATCACTTTGTTTCCAAAGCAGCCCTCAGAAACAGGACATACAGGTGGCCCCATTTGACAGAGGGGAAAGGAGTGACTTGTCCAAGGTCATCCACGGTAAATGGCAAAACCAGGACTCCAAGCCGCCTCTTCTGATTCCGAGATCAAGGCTTTGGTAGTTACTGACAGTACCTTGGGTGATGGCATTATGGGGTTCCTGTCAATTAGTCTATGGTATAAACAGGTAATGAAAAAAGATTCAACCAAGCAGCCTTTGGGAAGAAAACCCACAGGTGAAAAAGGAAGTAGCTGAGTGGATCAGTCTTGATTAAGTGGTGAACAGTCCAACAGTAAGTAAATAGTCCTGCAGAAGAAGTGCAGTCAGCAGTGGGGGAGCCGAGGCTTTACTCCTACAGATGTTATTCAGCTGTGTCCTTGCTGGGCTTTCTTCACATTCTCTATCTGTGGGTAAGGATTTCATTTTGGCTTCTGACTTGGAAAGCAACCTAGGCTTAGGCTAAGCCCAAGCCCAAGGTCCCTGGAGGGGACCTTTGAGACCTTCCAAGTCCAACCCACCTCATTTGGCAGATGAGCCAAAGAGAACAGTCCGTTCATTCGTTATTATGGCCAGGTTCAAGATGAGGCAGAGGGTGAAAATGTAACTAGTCTGAGGTCACATAGAGTTGTTCCTCAAGGCCAAGCCCTCTGACCCAGAGTCCATGGCTCTTACCACCACCTCCCTATTCCTCCTATATCTGTCCACAATTTCTTTACACACAGACATGTAGTGTCTAGTTTTTAGCTGAGGCAGTACTAAGTTACCCCTTTGTTGGTGGTCTTTCTTATCTAAACTGAGGGTGTTTCACAGTTGCAGCCAGCCAGCCAGTCATCTTAGCTTAAAACCAAATGTTACATAGTCACTGAACTTGGGGACAGCACACTCTCACAAGCAGGACAGTGGTCCCGTTCTCCAAAAAGCTCATTTTCTTTTCAGCTCGGCTTCCTCTTCTATCTTTGACGATCCTTTCTGCCTTAGGACAAGGCTGTAAACATACAAGAAAAATGTTTGTTCTCAGATGGAAAGGGATCCTCTGGATATCCTATGAATAGCTGCTGTAACAACAAAACGAACGTCCCTTGGGAAATACCCCTAAACCTTTCATATATGCTGATTTGTATAAATAAAATGACCAATTCAATTCTTGGCCTTATTCCTTGTATAGAATTTCCTAGGTAATAGAATCTGTTTAGGGTGAGGGGTTGAATTTTATGAAAATGTACTCGTCTAATAGAGGATACAAACAAAGAGCCAAAAGGGCCAGAGGTGGTGGTAGGTGCTTGTTTCAGTGTAGAACAAATGCGGAACCATCATCATAAAAAAGTGTAGAAAATTAGCCAGGATATCACCTAATTAGCCAATAGTTAGTTACTGCAGAAGCCAGAGACTCTACAGATACACTCCAAAACCACTTTGTAGAGGGTAGTAAGTCATCTGGGCAGACCCTCATGTTAAAAGGAATCCTTTGACCAGTGGTGATGTACAACTCACTACCCTACAAGGCAAGTCCATTCCTCCTGTGGACAGCTCCCATTGTAAAGCCAGTTCCTCCTGGTTTAATTTGAAACAGGCTTCCCCAACTTTCCCTTTGCCGCTAGTTCTGCCTTTTGGATCCAAGCAGAACACATGACAGCTGTGTTCAAATCTGGAAAGTGTCGGGTTATTTTCCCTGGAGTCTCTTCTCCACGTTAAACAGTCCTCATTTCTTCAGATAATACTCATAGGTGATGGTCCGTCCTAACAAGCTCATCCATCAGGGTCCTTCAAGATGCATTAGCTAGAACTGAACGGGATATCTGCATGTGAGCTGAGCTGTCTTGGCTCCTTCGGTTTGACGTGCCACTGAAAATGAAGAACTGTCTGTCCTTGGCCTCATTTAATCAAGGG